AATGTGAAAAGGGCTAAAGATTGAGAAGAGCAATCACACATAATCCCTAAATGTTGTTTTTTTGTTTTTTTGTTTTTTTTTAAGCTGTATGTAAGGATCACTTAATCTACTGCTGGAAAACAACCACATGTGAGCTGGAAAGCAGCAGCTGTGGGAAAATAAGAGGTCTCTTTCTCATGCCAAGCACTCCATTGCTCCAATCTGGTTAACTGCTACTGAAGTACAATGGCAGCTTAAAGTAGTAAGGACACATTGGAAAAAGAAACTAAAACTCCTTATTACTAATGTAAGAGATGTAAAAATGAAATTAACACTTCCCTGGTCCTCGGAACAATCAAGCTCTCAGTAGGGCTGTCATTAATCTCTATACAGAACATTAGTCTATACAGCTGCTAAACTCTTCATCAGTTGCCATGCTTGTTTGCACTGATCCTTTCCTTCTTATAAAAGACTGAGTTAAGATTTGAACCAGCTAAAGCCAAATGAAAATATGGGTAATGTGGAATTATCCCAGAACTTTGATATGAATTAGCCAATAGGAGAGCTCTGCCCTTTTGTTCTGTGTGGGGACCGTTTTCCTGGAAGAAGAGCAGTTAAGCCATGTCTTGGCTGCGTAATATATTCATCCAAATTCTCAGGTTTTCACTCACTGTCTGTAAGCCAGAAAGCTGAGACTCAGGTTGTAGCAATTGGACAGATCAGTACGATGGGAAAAGGTGTTTCACCAGAGGTGTAATGACAGAAGGATTGTCATGATAAAAAGATGCTATAAGGAAAGAAGATTGGTTACCCATATCAGAAGATTCCAAGTTCATATGAGAAAGATCCACCAGGGAGGAATCTCCAGCTAGAGATCCTTCCCCAGTGCCATTCACCCTTAAATGAGTTCTAAGAGAGGTGCAGCCAGGCTGCACCCCTTCCAGTCACACAGCTAAATTGCCTGTGCTTCCAGGGCTGACCAGGTCTTTTCCCCAGGTGTTCAATCAGTGGTTCAGGCCATGACTCAACAGTTACCATGTACTGTACCACCTTGAAGTCAAGGTCCTTGCGTCACTGATGCAGGGGCTGTTGGGACTGTTGGCTGTTTTTGCATAGCTGAATGCTTCTTTCTCTCTGGATGCAGCTCAAATGCAGGAAACAATAACGACAAAATGTGCTTTCTAGAGTGCATTTTTATGTTTGACTGTCTTTCTGTAGTAATGTAGTAGGATTTAATCATTGCCAATTGCAGGGCTTAATTAAGTGCTAGTTAACACTTATTACTGTCATAGTCTTGTCAAATGGAAATAGCTGCCTGATGACCTAGGGGCTGTTTATATGAATAACTGTTCCTCAATAAAAATAAGTTTTCCCATTTGTCCCTGAGATTAAAATTGAGGAAGAAAAAAAAATCCCTTAAGAAATTTATGGCAGATGTTTTATTTTTGCAGATCTTGTTTTTGATGTAGCTTGCATTCTTTTTTTTTTTTTTTTTTCTGTTATTAAGCTTCACTCAACTATTGAGTATATTTAACTGTAGTTTGTGAATTGCATATTTAAAATAGATGTTTTTGCATACAGAAAAAATAAATCACTAATAATTTATGCATGTAAATAATCCATTTTAGGTAACATAAATATAATTCTATGTGCAGATTAAATATTCTCATTTAAAAACAAGGCTCTTAATATTCTGTTTATGTAAAAAGTGGTTGGGACGCAGGATATTTTAATGATAGTTATTAGTGGGAGAATGATAGCAGTCTTGAAGTTTGATTTGAAGAGTTACTGGCAGTGTGGATGTTTATCCATTCTAACTGTATCTCTTGAGGTTTTCATTAGAAAATATCTAGTTCTTCAAACCTTGAGGGAAACTAGGCTTGTAATTCTGCACTTGGTTCCCCTTAGACTCTGCTAGTGAAGAGAAAAATGAGAAGAAAATTACTAATTAAATTCCTTTTTGAGTTTTCTCACAGAAGAGAAGTGTAAGGGTTGTTGGTTTTTATTTCCTTGTTTTTTTTTTCTTCTTTTTCCCCTTATGTCTACTGTCCTCGTTATAGCGGTAGCTACAAAGCCAGAAGAGTTCTGTGATTTGTCTTATTATTCCGATTTGGATCATGTGAATCTCTTAGGTCTTTTTCTTCTCTGCAAATTGCACAAATCTAAAGAGTTCTCTTATTCTAATTTGTGATGTTGGTAAGTTTCCACTGCAGACTGAATGATGGATGCCTTGGGGACCTGTGCTAGTAACTGCTCAGAATTTTTTCTTAGACTTTTGCAGAAGGTTACGAGCTTGATCCCCAGCATCAGCCATTACCAACTAAACTGTAATGAATGAGGAAGCTTCTCACTGCATGAAATTAAAGGTTGTTCTTAGAAGTATTCGTGTGATGATGCTAAGCAGGTTTTGAGCTAGACCACCACTTATCTGAATGTAAAAACTGCTAAGTTATTTTAATCAAACCCACCGCAATGTCTTCTCCATGCTAGAATTCTGCCAAACATCTGGCTGGGAAGTTGCCCTCGGCAGCTGGAGCATGTGACGGTCAAGCTAAAGCACGAGCTGGGTGTCACAGCAGTGATGAACTTCCAGACCGAGTGGGACATTGTTCAGAACTCCTGGGGCTGCAATCGCTACCCAGAACCTATGAGCCCTGAAGTCCTCATGAAACTGTACAAAGAGGAAGGTCTTGCCTATGTCTGGATGCCAACTCCAGACATGAGCACTGAAGGTAATGCTCAGACCAGTCTTGCAGCTAAATTAATAACAATAAAACCTTTGAGTTACTAAACTGTTGCTGTCATGGCTGCCTTTTTTTTTTCTTGCATAAATTTTGTGTGAAAATACAGCTAGAGCACAAGGATATTTTTGTTTTATTTACATTTTCTGGTAGGTAGAGATGCCATCTAAACTACTTTGTGTCTGGCAGTATATGCGTATTTGAGGTTAAAGCCATCAGACACTGATAACTGCTTGACTGCTTGTGCTTTCAGCTTGCATTCAGCTTGTATAATGAAAATATGCTGTGTAGGTGGAAGACTGCAAGCTTGCACAGCAGGACAGCTCGCCATCCTTGCTGGTTTAAAAAGGAGAGAGATAGTGCTGTATGTCTAGTGTAGCCACTCCCTTCCCCAAGCAAATTATTTTTGTCTATACTATCCCAGTCTCATGAATCTCCATGGAGTCATTTCTATAATTATTTGTAATTGATTTAGAATACCCACAGTGCATTGCATCATAACAGAAATGAATACTTTTAATTCCTCTGTTGGAATGCTCATTTCAAAATCTTGCTTTTAGCCCGTAGGTAGGAAGTGTGTCTTTGGCTGGTAGGCTGCTCACTCAAACAAGAGTGCTTTCAACAGAGTGAAGTTCACTGCCACGATCAGGGAGCTGTCACATCAGGAATGGGGCATCAGGAAGGACAGGAGACCTTAAGACAGGGATTTGAAAGGGCTTAACGTCAGTGCTTATCTATGCTGTGAGGAAAAGTTACACTTTGATGTCTGCAGCTTCAATTCCCAGAGTAGCAGGGAGCGGTATCAAGAAATACAGTATATTCATCCCTTTGGGAGTGAGAAAGACTGTTCTTAATCATACACAGACTATTTAACCATATGCTCAGTACACAATTAGGTTATAAGAGTTTAGTTATACAGGAAAATGCTATTCTGTTCTCCCTCCTTCCCTTATGATTGATGTTACTGTTTTCATTACAAAGTTTTGGAAAGCAGCAGTGCGTAGGTAGATTTGCAGACCATTGGTGGTAAAAAACAAAAACCTTAAAATAAAAAAAAAAACATTTTTGTATTGCTGACTTGAATGCTATAAAAGATGCATTTTACAGGTTTTGAATGATCTGAATCTATGTTGCAAGAAGAAATGAAGGTTAGAGTAGGTTATTTGAGGGGAAAAAAAAAAAAAAGAAGAAGAGAGAAAACAGAAAAATATATAGCATTTTGCCCTTGTTGATTTACAGTGCATCAGGCTGTGCTGACAAAATCTCTACTGTGAACCTAACTTTCTCAAACGCTAGTGACCGTGCCCTTGTTTTTATCTTTAGGAAGAATACAGATGTTGCCACAGGCTGTCTGCCTCTTGCATGGGCTGCTGCAGAATGGACACACTGTCTACGTTCATTGCAATGCTGGCGTTGGCAGGTCTACAGCTGCTGTCAGTGGCTGGCTGAAGTATGTGATGGGATGGAGCCTGCGGAAGGTGCAGTACTTCTTGGCTTCCAGAAGACCAGCTGTCTACATAGATGAGGAAGCTCTGATTCGTGCTGAAGATGATTTCTTCCAGAAATTTGGACCTCTTCGTTCCTCATGTAAAGTAGAAGAGTAGAAAAGCAGAAGAAAAAAAGGGCGGTGAAGAACAATCCTTACATGTGAATCCCAGCGATGAAGAAATCATGAATCAGACTTCTGCCTCTCCTCATCAGATTGCACACCTGTCATAACAGCCCTGAGAATTTTGTTAAAAAGTGCCTTTGAGTGTTTATCATTTGTGTTCTTTAAGCTGATACGATTCATGTTTTTAAGCCTTTTGCTGCAAGTACAAGACCCGAAGGTCTGTGAAAGGAGACTAAGATTCTATTTTAACTATTTGCCTACAGGAACTGAGTGTTAGGGTAGACATAATAAGACAAGACTTGAAATAAAATAATTACTGTTGGCAGTATTTTAGTGACAGAAAAGGAAGATGTTCTCAGAAAAACAGGTGTAAGGTTGACTGAGTTGTGGTTCAGTTTTGGATGGAGCTGAGGATAGTCAAAGCGGCTCAGTTGTTTTAGAGTGTACATTATTAAAATGTTTTCTAGTAATTTTGTAGAAAAATGGTTTTAGTGCAGAAGACCAGAAACCAATTTTTCATCTGAGTTTCTTGAGCATAAAACTAGTATCAAATGCAGCCAACTAATTTTTTTTTTTTTTTTTTGCCTATGCAGTTCATGTTAGATATTTTGAGAGCTCACAACCCTGCTTGGGTAAAACCAGTTTGCTGTAGGATAGGTCCAAGATTGACCAAGGGAGGAAAAACATTCTCTAGAGAACAGAGGATTAAGAATACATAAACATTAAGAAACTAATTTCTATAGATTTATTTTTCAGTGATTTTTTTTTTTCTGGCCAACTGACTTGTCCTTCTAAAGACCCCATCAGTGCCAGTGTAATATAACTGATAAATTTAGTTTATTTGAATATGTAATATAGAAATGAGCTGCTCATGGAGAAAGTCCAGCATAATGCAATATGATATTTTATTTAACTTCTACTTTAATTATCTTCAAAAGAAAAATGGCAATTTAAGTTATTCTAAATGTGTGGTTTTGATCATGACTTCGTTTCTGGTTTGTTTCTTTGTTTTTGCTTTGAAGTAATACTGCCTGTTTGGATATGAACTGTTAATGGAGAATGCCCAGCATAACACAATATGTTTTATTTATCTTCTATTTCAGTAGTCTTCAAAAGGAAAAAAATGTTTAAATTATTCTATATGAGTGGTTTTGATCCTGATTTGTTGTGTTTTTTGGTGGTTTTTTTTTTTTTTTTTTTACATTTTTTGTTTGCTTGTTTGGTTTTGGTTTTGCTTTGCAATAACAGTGCCTATTTAGAAAGTGGGTGAGAAAAGTTCACTAATTAAATAACATCATGGTGATTCCAGTAGTCCATTTTGTCCTTTGTATTTGGCTCTCAATTTCATACGTAACAGGAAGGGTGATGACTGACCACTGTATGGGGTAGGGGCCAGCCACTTCAGTGATGCTGATGATCTGTTGCTTGTCTGCTATGCAATGCCAGTTCTGAGGGTCTGCTGTGTGCCCTTCCAAATCAACATTGAGAGGAGGAGGATGCCATGAGGAGCAGAAACTGGAACTTGCTTAATTTTTACACTTCTTTTGGGATACACTTGAAACCCGAAGGTTAAATTGTGTTTCTTTTCGATTTGATGCAATTTGTCTATTGTGACCAACACTTGTGGCTTTGCCCCTGAAATGTTATTAGTTTCATAGATGACTGTATTTCTTCCTTAGAGTTCTTGGGACTGAACGGTGCATAACATGGTGCACACAAGTGAGTGTACAGCTAAGATATAACCATGCTGTGTTGGCTATTCCTTAATGCTCGTTTCCTTAGCAGTTGAAGCAGACTGATGCTTCGTCTCTTGAAGTGCAGGAGTTCAGATGATACAGAAGCCATTTATTTAAGGAAGCCCTGGCAAGGGATTGTTAATTCACTGTTTATTGCCATTTCAGTTTCCTTGTCTGTTAAACTGATGGTGAGCTGTATCGTATGCAGATCACAGTAGCTGATGAAATACGTGAAAACAGCTTGTCAATATCATTTAAACAGCAAGTGCAAGGAGTTCTTATGGCTTGTAATCCCTTTGTGCTGATTTGTCGCTTTTTTTTCTCATTGCCACCTCCTTGCTTTCTTCATTGAAGGTCAGTCTGTCACAAGTAACATCCATTAAAAGTTCTGTCTGTTGAAAGCAGCTAGGAATTCAAATGCTGAAGAGATCATTGGAAAAGGCTACAGTAATAGAAAAAGCAATAATATGAAAATATAATGTGTATTACATGATAGAGCTGCATCTACTGCTTATTTATTACAATTGCAATTTGCAATATGTTCTTCTGCTGATTGGATCATTAGCTGTTTCCACATACTAGATTCCTTATGCAGTTTCGATGTCAGGATGAGGACAGCTCTGTTGTTTACATCCTAGTATAGTTTACCAGCTTAGTCATAAAAGTGCTGTGATATTTAGAGAAGGGCAACTCCCATTGAAAGAATAACACACAAATAAACAATAATGCTAATTTTACAGTGCACCCAAAAAGCCAAACTAATGTGCAGACAGTAACAGGAACCAGGTAGAAATATTGTTATAAATTGTCACTGAAAAGCATCAGTTAAGGAAAATGGTTATCTGCTTGTAAGAACATCAGTATTCTTTGTCCTTTTCTAGCAGTTTTTCACCTTTGCAGTACTGAAGAAAAAAGCAGGACTTGTTACATGAGATTGGGACCATTTATGATTCAGGATACTTAGAGTACCTCAGTGTCATTAATAGGCCCAGCAATAGTGTCTGTTTGTTCCCAGGGCTATGTATCTGAAGGATCAGAGCACAGCTAGCTCTTTCAGGTAATGTCATAACAAACGCGGCCCCTTGATGAATGGGTTGAGGTCTGAGAGGTTTGGTTTCATGAATATTTTTGATATCAGAAAGCAGTTAATGTGGACCTTCTGCATGAGATTTTAGTCATGGAATGCAGTTCAGTGAAGGACACTGGGCTGGCTGGCAGGGCTGCTGTATACCCTCTTTCATCCCTGGCTCCTGTGCACACTTTGTACTTCGACCTCTTTGGTATTTGTCTGCTCAGGTGCTTAGGTGGCAAGCTCTCAGTCTTCCCTGTCTGCTTGTCCAGCACTGAACACAGTGTAGCTCTGGATGTGGCTGGGACTTGGTTTTGTGGTTTTGTACTGGGTTGTGCTCCTGAGTAGCTGGAAAGTCTTACAATGGGCAACTGAGTTGTATGCGCTGCACAAAAGCTTATTGCAAAACAGTGTCTCTGTTCTGGGGTATTCCACCAGGACAGGGTGGAATTAGGATTTGAGACTCACAGCCAAGCCCTCTTGAGGAAATGTGATGGAGGTTAGGCTGTAGGTGGGCAGGAGCGGGGAATGAACTCCCTATTTAAAACAAAAATGTACAATACACCAGAAAATGCTTGGAAACTCTGTACGTTACCGTAAGGTGACTCTCTAGCTAAAGTAGACCTACTTTTTGAGTTCTATAGGATAACACATGGAGTTTACTGATCTCCAAATGAGAAAAAATATGATAGAAAATCATCAAAAATTTTACCATAACTTTATTATCCTGCCTCTTCTTTTATGTTTCCCCATTAAATTGCAGCGAGAGGTTTTGTATCAGTAGTAGAGTTAAAACAAAAATCTTAATTCATTAAAAAATGTACTGAGGCTGTGCAGTAGGAAGCTGTGAATAAATATTTAGAAGCATAATAACTACCACAAAAGTATATATTTGGCAAGCAAGCCCTAACTTCTTGTAGAATAATGAACAGCAAGACAGCCTTTAGCTAAAATGGAATTGGATTAATGTAGCGGAGGACAGGATATAGATGACTTTCTCCAACTCGAGCTGTTTACATTCCATGTGTTAAATCAACACCTCTGCAGTTGCTTCTTTAAAATATTCTGCTGGAAAGAATTATGGTTTATTTTACACATATTTATAGCTTAAAGTTAAAGGAGCAGCTCTGAGGGAGCAGCCTTTTGAACAGTGGAAGTTAAAGAATTAATCATTCTTCAGTTGTCCTCTGACACAGCACTGACGTCACCAACGAGACCAAATCATACGAATTCATAACTGATTTTCTTCCTAAATTAACAAAGGAAAGGAAATTTCTCAAGGGTAATGCCATTACCATATATTAGCATAAATGTGTAGTTGCGATATAAGCAACCAAAACATGTTTTTGAACCTTCCATTATGTTAACATTGAATCTATAGGGTATTCATTCCAAATTAGATTTTTTTTCTTGTTCCACCCTTTCACCTCAAGATGCTCCATCCCAGTCTTGACTAGTTGGAAAGGGTTCTTGACTATATTGCCATATTTGTAAAGATAAGTAAGAAGTATTTTAAGCCCTTTTGTAAATATCAAAGCTTGTTTTTGGATGAGGAAATAATAACAGTTATACCATGTAAAATAAGGATGGTGACATCATGAGCCCTAGCCATGTATAGCTCAGCCTTTTTTTGTGCTTAAGTGTGTTGTCTTATTTGGAAGATTTACTTTATAAAAATTGCAAGATAATGTCTGTTATTTGGTAATTATTCCCATACTAATGTTGTTATATTTTCATCAAGAAAAATAGGAGGCCTATTTATTCATGAGCTGGTAAAATATTAAATGAAACCTCATTCTTAATTTACATGATTGAGGAAAAAGCATAAAACAGCTGCCAAGAAAAAAAATTCTAACACCGGGCAGGTTTCTGTGGTCATTATTTAATGTCATTACAACAAAATTTGTTTTGTGCTAACAGTTTCAGAAAGGAAATAATTAACAACCAGGCTAGCATCCAAGAGTAGCAACCATATTTAAGTTGGGCAGCCAGCCCAAAGTCACTGCAACAAATCAAACACTGAAAAGGAATCTAATTTCCAAAAATTCAATAAAATACATAAACACAGAGGTTAGGAAAGGACTATAAGGATTTTACTTGCAGAAAGGCAAAATACATAAATACATAGTATAACTGTGGCTAATGTCAATGGAAAAAGCATTGGAGTGGCATAACAAACACCACAACTCGTTTGACAATATCAACGTTTTGGGTCTTACAGTGATGTGAAGAATTCTTAAGCTCAGTTTACTGTCAGTAATTGAATACAACAGCTGCTGTTCTCAGTACGTTCACCCACAATGATTGTGGGGGTGTTTGTATTTCCATGTCTATGCACAACCAAAATGGAAAATACTCAGTATTTGATGTCTTCCACCCTTCCTAAGTGGTAAAATGCATGTGTTATTCTGCCATGCAAAGGACTAAAAGTTTCCCAAGGTGAGAACTGGTCTGTACTGGGTCTGCACACCAGAGAAAGATTTACACGGAGGAGTGGGAAATATGTGACCTAAAGAAAGGATTGATCTGTTGAGATGAACCAGTGAGACACAAATACATCTCAACACCCACTGATCAACAGAAGCTCAGTGATAGACACTGAAACAGCAAAACCTTGCAAGCTATTCAACAAAATCTGCCACGATCATTATTTCTGAGAAGAAAAAATTTGATTAACTCTCTCTTGATTGCTTGAACATGACTCAAGTACACTTTGAAAAATGCTGAGTTAAGCCATTCATGTTTTTCCGCTTATGGAAATGAAATCAATAACTTTCTTTTAACTGTGTACATAATTCTTATTTTGCTTTCTTTAATAGCGATAATTTCAGGATGCCTTTCAGTGGCACTGAGATTTAAAAAGAAAAAAACCTTCCAAGAAACATATAGAAATGGATAAAAATGATACAAATCTAAGATAATTTCTGTGCTTCTAATTATCATCATCCTTGTTTACTAGGGCATTGCTGAACTTAGAACATACAATTATCTTCTTTTTCACTTCACCGCTGTCCTGTATTTCAAGCTAAAACACATGATTGGGTAGCAGAGAACATACCAAAGTATAGCTAGGTTTGGAACCATTGCTGAAAACGTTATGTTTTTGTGCTACGGTAAATATTCAAGGTTCGCAGTCTTAAAAATTGTATGAAAAACAAAAATAAGCCTTTAAAATGAGCATCAATGAGAAAATCAGTACCAGAATGTTTATTCTGCTATTAATCTGCTTTCCCAAGGGCAAGGCAGAAGGGGAAAAGATTCTCCTTCCACAGACTTCAAGGCTGTGCTCAAGGAATACTTCCTTTAGATAGGAAGTGATATAACAAAGCACTTGCCACTTATGGAAATTTGAGTACTGGGGATTTCAAGTTGAAGGCTCTATACTTGGTTTCCAAGTGCCTTGCTGCATTCCCCACCTGAGTTACTGATGAGATGAGTCCTAAATCGGTGGCCTGCTGCAACATACTATGAGTCATCAGCCGTTAGAAAGGGTAAGGACACTTGTTTGCTGTGTGATTCTGTGATTCAAGCAAGCTGTGTGGGTTGGCAGAGTGAAATCACTTTATTTCTCAAGGGAGTGGGTGACAATAGGTGTTGGAATCTCTCCTGCTTTTTAACACAAGATCCGAACACTGCAGTGCACACGAGCAAAGCTGTCTAAACATTCATGTTCACGTGCCACACACATGCTTGCTTAAAAACGAAATAAGGTGGCAAGGTGTTGCATTTGGGTCAAAGCAATCCCAGATACAGCATGGGAGAAGAACTGATTGAGAGCAGTACTGTGGAAAAGGACTTGGGCATCCTGATGGACAAAAAGCTGAATATGAGCTAGCAGTGTGTGTTTGTAGCCCAGAAGGCCAACTGCATCCTGGGTGGCATCAACAGAGTGGCCAGCAGGGAGAAGGGAGGGGATTGTCCCCCTCTGCTCTGCCCTTGAGAGTCGCCATCTGGGGGTACACCCCTCCAAGCCTGGGGCTACCAGCACAGGAAGGGTGCAGAGCTGTTGGAGAGGGTCCAGAGGAGGGCCGGGAGGATGATCAGAGGGCTGGAGCACTTCTCCTATGTAGAATGGTTGAGGGAGTTGGGTTTGTTTAGCTTGGAGAAGGTTCTGGGAATGCCTCACTGCACACTTCCAGTACTTGAAGGGTTATTATGAGCAGGAGGGAGACTGACTTTTTACATGGTCTGACAGTGACATGGGAAGGGGGGGCTTTAAGCTAAAACAGGGAAGATTTAGGTTAGATGTTAGGAAGAAATTCTTTACTTAGAGAATGGTGAGGCACTGGAACAGGCCACCCAGGGAAGCTGTGGATACCCCATCCCTGGAGAAAATCAAGGCCAGGTTGGATGGGGCTCTGGGCAGCCTGATCTAGTGGGTGGCAACCCTGCACATGGCAGGGGGTTGGGACTGGGTGGGTTTTGTGCTTCCTTCCAACCCAAGCCATTCTGAGATTCTATGATTTTATGAAATGTCAGCTGTTACAGCCTGGCTCAGAAATTGACACAAATTAGGGCTTAAAAATATTATGTGAGTCTCCAAGGTTTTCAGAGTTGTCATAGAACATGTTTGGGGTATTGCAATTAAACTTGCCATTTAAATTTGTGAAGATGAAGAAAGCAGCTTGAAAACGTAATGAGACAAAGAAAGAGAGGCAAAGCACAACAGGATAAGAAAATATATGAACTGCCCTCTGTGTGTGGGTTGACAACTCTGCCAAAATATTCCCAGCATCAGCAAGGAGATAGAAATAAAAGGCTCTGGCTTTCCAGATCCTTGTGTTTGCAGCATCTAATAAAAGTCTGTTGCTTGCTTATGCACCAAAGTCTGCTGCCTATGTATAGTTCTAAAGACAAGAAACCTGTTTCTTATATTTTTAATGTATTCTGTGTCTTGCTGACTGACAAAAAATATACATGATTTAGAGGAAATATAGAAATCCATTGAAGACAATTCTATGTTTAGTATTAAGTTCTGTGCTAGCAATAGTCTGCTTTTTCCATAGGCTTGGTGTTTTAAAATATATGATAATGCTTTTGCATTTGGCAAAGAGCAGCTACTTGCCCCACCAATACTCATTTTGTAACTGGCAGACTTAAATTCTGCTATATTCTCTTCTCTTTGAATTCCTCCCCTGAGATATCCGTGAGGGAATAATGCGTACCCCTATCACAATATCTCACATTACAACATCTGTAATTCAATACAAAACAGAAAGAAGGATGAGCCTCCCCTGTGGTTTTCCCTGTATCTCACCTCCTTTCTGTGATTGATTCCCACATGGGAGATTTTGACAAGGGAGCCCAGGGAGCTCAGGTAGCATTTTGCAAGGAAAACCCTTTGCTGTGGATGGGGCAGGATCCCAGATGACCCACACAAAAGGGTCTTTGCCTTGATCATGCCTGGTGGGGCAAAGCTGGGCCAGGGCTCTCTGCCCCCAGGGCACTTCATGGTGTGGGACTGGATTTTCTCTGTCCTGGCTCATCCTCTGTCCCTGCAGATTTCAGGACGCTGACCTCAGAAACACAAGATTTATTTTCTTTGCTCCTTTTATCCTTCCAAAAATGGTAAAAAATGTGTACCTGTGGAAACCTGGATTTCTATGTATGGTTTTTGGCAAGGGAAATATTTTCAGTTCTGTTTACAGAGCAGCCAATGCAAA